ATTAATATTTAGTGTTAATTCAACATTCAAATTAAGAAAAGCAACCACATGGGGGTGTATATCACACTTTTTCAAAGAGTTTTAAGTGTTAGTACAGCTCTGTGGAATAAAATGGTTAATACATGAGTTAGCTAATGCACATTAAACAATACTTGTGTACATTTATGTACTTTAGAAAGTATACAAGTAGCTTTATACAGTAGTAATATGTGGGTGAGAATATGTGCATCTTTTATTGATAAACCTCTGTCCTCTGGACTTGTCTGCTGACTCAGCTATTCCTCACCTTGGCAAGACACTACAGACTTTATTAACACACACACACACACACGCACACACACACAAACCACTATATCTGCCTTTCATTGGCCTTGGAAACATCAGAGGTGAGATTTCCTAACTTATACAACACTGCCAGCTTTCCTCAGTTGCCCTCTCACTTTATTTTCAAGGTCTGGCATTACTATTTCTTCAGAGTCTGTTGTCAGTGCTTTGGCTAAGGACTGTAAGGATTTTCAAATCAAAATGCAAACAAGAGAAAAATCTTGATTCATGATTACTGTATGATTTTTTTCTAAAAAGATCAGTTCTCTTTTTTCTGAGTTTGGCTTCTTCAGACTTTAGTTTATAAGCTGTGCTAAAACAACCTATGTAGAGTAGCAAATAAACTTAAAGTTAAATAAAATAAAATACATGTACAGCTTGGTGTGGTGATGAGACATACTTCAGTACTATTGCCATTGGTGGAGCAAAAGTAGACAAAACAGTTGGCCATGTTGTGTCTAAAATGTAAGTGACTTGACATTATACCTGAACAACAAAGAACATTACAAAGTACAGTATATCTGTCTTTTTCTTACGCAGAGACATCCTCGGTTCCTGAATCAGATTTAAGTTGCCTAGCCGCCTCATATTTGTGAGCAGAAAGCAGGTGATGTAAACAGGTTGCTGTGGTAAAAGAACATGACCTTCAATGCCCTGAGACAGAGATTCATTAGAAGTAAACGTATAACTCTGCTCTGTTCTCCACATAATTAATGACACTTCTGTAGCCATGAATTAAAGGAGGAATAGAACAATAAATTGTCTTCCTTCCAAGCAAAAAAACAAACAGCTTGTTGAAAGGAAAACAATTCAATTCTGGCACATGTACACAACTGACTAAAAGAGGCTGTAAATAGCAAAACTAACAAAACAAAATCAGCACAAAAAATTAATCCAGTAGGGCTACTTCTGTTATTATTCCTCTGATGTAGCAGACAGAGGAACCCATCACTCTGTACACAATCGAAATACATTACCACATACAAAACTGTAGAAATTTTCCTAAGAAGTTCATTCAGAAACATCGAAGCAACTGCCATTTTCCCCAAAAACGTGAGTGGGAAAAAGCCGTATGTCGGTTACAAGCTTATAATGGTTCAGTGTCACATTCTTATCGTAAAATAACCTTGAGAAATATATAAATGCAACTACTCATTCACTACAATATATATGGATTAGCCATTGAGCAGCAAGAGTTCTTTATTCCAACAAAGAATTGATTCCATGCTTCTCGAGACACTGGGGATCGAGAGTCAACTTCAAATGTTCAGTGTGAAATGACTAAGAGATTATCTTGATTATCAAACTACCACACATCCCAGAAGAGACTTATTAGCTAGCTGTTAGGATTCTGATTAATTCCAGGGACTCAAATCATTTGATTCTGCTCAACAAGACTCATTTACTAATTTATTTAGTTACTCTTACTGCAGGTTACATCATTACAACAGCAGGAGGCGCCCACCTAAGTGTGGGATATTTTAAGTCAATGAATCATACACTCAAAAGATCATCAATTTTGATTCATAATATCAATCATAATACTGTAGATAAGACTTTTACATTGTTGAATGGAATAGTTCGCCCAAAAATGAGATAAACATGATGAATATTTACTCACCCTCAGGCCAGCCAAGACTTAGAATAGTTTTTTTTTTTTCATCTGAACGGATTTGGAGAAATGTTGCATTGAATCACTTGCGCACTAATGGGTCCTCTACAGTCAATGGGTGAATAAGAGTCCAAACAGCTGATAAAAACATCACAATAATCCACAAGTAATCCACACAACTCCAGTCCAACAATTAATGTCTTTATTTGCGAATTACGAATTAAGGCATTTTACTTCAAACAATTACTTCTGGAAAACTATGATTCCATAATCCATAAGAACACTTCCTCCAGCAAAAAAAGACCATCCCCTGTTGTCCTCTCACATCAAAATCCACCAACACATTTGTTTAGAACTGTTTGAGATGCGCATATTTCTATCCTGATTCAGACTACATGATTTTTTCACTGGAGAAAGCAATGTTACAGATAGAGGACTCTTATTTTAGCCATAATGATGGATTTGTTTCTTACAAACACACAGCTTTTCACAAAACATCAATCGATGGACTGGAGTGGTGTGGATTATTGTGATGTTTTTATCAGCTGTTTGAACTCTCATTCTGATGGCACCCATTCACTGCAGAGGATCCATTGGTGAGCAAGTGATGGAATGCTAAATTTCCCCAAATCTGTTCCGATAAAGAAACAGACTTATCTACATTTTGGATGGCCTGAGGGTGAGTACATTAAAATGTTTAGTGTGAACTCTTCCTTTAAAAACATCTCACATTGCCTCCTATTTTTCTTAAAGGGATCATATGACGTTGCTAAAAAAGAACATTATGTGTATTTGTTGTAATGAAATGTATTTATGCGGTATAAGGTTATAAAAAACACATTATTTTCCACATACTGTACACTATTGTTTCTCCTCTATGCCCCGACCTTTCTGAAATGCGTCGATTTTTACAAAGCTCATAGTTCTGAAAAGCGAGGTGTGCTGTGATTGGCCAGCTATCCAGTGCGTTGTGATTGGCCGAATACCTCAAGCGTGTGACGGAAATGTTACACCCCTTAACGCACTGTGATGCCGTCTCCCAACCGGAGCGACTAGACAAAAACAATAAAACACATTACAAACGAGGCATTTGTTGCATCCAGTGGAGAAAAACACATTATTTTCCACATAATGTACATTATTGTTTCTCCTCTATGCCCCGACCTTTCTGAAACGCGTCGATTTTTACAAAGCTCATAGTTCTGAAAAGCGAGGTGTGCTGTGATTGGCCAGCTATCCAGTGCGTTGTGATTGGCCGAATACCTCAAGCGTGTGACGGAAATGTTACACCCCTTAACACACTGTGATGCCGTCTCCCAACCGGAGCGACTAGACAAAACCAATAAAACCCATTACAAACGAGGCATTTGTTGCATCCAGTGGGGACATAATTACTGATTATAATGACTTTGTTTTATGCGTTGCGTTGCGTATCGCGCTGCGTAAACATAAAACCATGTCTGCATTTGTGATCGGAGAAACGACAAACAACAAACGCTACTCACGTTTGAATCATCAGTGGCAAATTCTTTAAATATAAAAAATGTACTTACAGGCTGTGAGTCAAAAACGCCAGACTGTCCTTGCAAAGTTGGAACTGCCTAACTTTATAGAACAGCCTTTGAGCACAGACCCATTGTATGCTACTCTGCAGATTCAGGAAACAGTGTTCCATAAAATGCATCACACACGGCAGGCTTGAGTGAGTGGAGGCCGGCGGCCTTGAGAACGGCATGTATATATGCCGACACCGGGCTGGACTCCGCTTCGTCCACGGTGAAAGCCGATCCGGCGATCCACAGCGTGAAGTTGATGTATTCCCTCAGCGACCAGCACGGATCAGCTCCAGGCATGAGGAAGCAAATATCGTCCTCTTTTGGAAGGCCAAACAAAGTAGTTTCGCTTTCAATACTACAGCGAGAATAAAAGTTACGCCTTCTTTCTTTGCGTGTTTGGGCGTTGTTATGCAAATCTTCCCACACAGTGAGGTAGATATGTGGGGGTGTGTTTAAACTAGCCGTTTTAGGAGGGCGTGGACGAGTCTTAACTTTTATAAAGAATATCTCTTTGGATTTGAGATTTTAGTCTTTGCAACTTTACAGATCTTCTTTATGCACCAAGAGCTTGTGACACTCCAAAGAGAAAGGAAAAATTGAAATCACATCATATGACCCCTTCAAGAAATCAAAAACATTTATTTGGAATCAACTTTTTAAATTCTGAAAACCTGGAATCAGAGTCATTTCCAAACATTCCATAAACAAACAACTTTACTCAAAGGAAGCATATTTTTTTCTGTTTTTAAACCTCTTGTTTTAGGATCTTTTGAGAACAGGAACATCTGGGTAAAACAGCCTGCTTCCATAGTCACACAACACAGCTGCTGCTCTACTCTTACGTAACTACTCAGCTATTGTGTAAGAACTAAATAATTGTTTTTAGCTTTTCGAGCATGCTTAAACAAGCATTAGCATATGTATAAAGTTATGTAATTAATAAAATCAGATTCTAAATGCTCCTATCATCATGTTAGGGAAGATCAGAGTTGTTAACTAAAAGGTTGTAGGTTCAAACTCCAAAAACTGGTGAATCATCCACCATTTGTCCTTGAACAATGCACCAGGATGCTCCAGGGGGTGTCTGCCAAATGAATAAATGTTAATGTAATATATCTCAGGCCAGTGATCACATGGCTTCTAATATAGAAGTCACATGGTATGTTCTGCCAGAGTCATATTATCATTATAATCACAGCCATAGTAAAGCTGCATTACTAAAGAACAGAAACCGACCATCACTGCATTATTTACCAGAAAACACACACACACACGCATAAATATGGTGGTGCTGCCAATTGATATTTTGGTTCTCAAGACCACAATGTGAGCAAAACAGCAAGAAAGGTCATGTATTTGTGTGTGAGTAAGAGTGGACACCGCACAGGAAGTATTCA